CCGGGAAGGTGATTGCACCCCGGGGTTTCCCAGGGCAGGTGTTGGCTAAGGCAAGGCAGGGCAGCTTGCTGGGCTGAGCCAGCCCTGGAGCAGCCTGGCAGCAAGGGGGGATGTTGCAGCCCCCCATTCTCCCACATGGTTTGCCACTCTTGGTAAAGCAGGCTCGTGGCTCCCTTGAGCCTCACCAAGGGTCCTTGGTAGGAATTAACACTAATCATGTTCCCTTCCCCTCCCTCCTCACAGGCTACAAGGAACAGGGGATCCCACAGCAGCTGTAGTGGCTGGGACAAGTATGGTCAGAGAAACACGGCGAGAGATTTCCTTTGGCAGCTGTGGGCCATGGACCTTTTCATTACCCTTTGTCTTTCTTCTTCTTCCTTTTGTTTTGTTTCCTTCTGTTTCAACCTGGTTCATCTGCCCATCCAGCGGAGCGGAGGTGCAGAGCAGCCGACGGAGACTTACACTGATCCCATTGAGCAGCGAAGATGGGGCAAGCACGGCCTGGGTTAGGACTGGTCCTGGCCAGCACACGGTGGGCGGCCGATGAGGAGGAGGAGGGTGCCAGGAGAGGGAAACACCCTTGGCGAAGGTGGCACCTGGGCAGGCAGCTGAGCCGGGGAAGCGGGAGATGCTACTTTCTCTCTCCTCCCAGGGGGAAGTAGCTGAAGATGTTTTGCCTCCTTTTTACGCTCACCGTTAAAGGAAACTGGCTGTGAACGTCAAATGCCAAGGAGCTATTAATAGATATATGTACAGTATGTAAAAGCAAACCAGTGGTACTTTTTCCCCACCCCAAGAGACCATCCTTGACTGCTTTGCGGTAGCGGAGGGCTCAGCCCAGCCTCCTCTGCTGTCTGTGTATATATGATGCCCGATGAAGCTCTGTCCTTGCAGATGTCTTAAGAAACATGCTTGCTGTAAATCATATTGTACTGCTGAACTGACCGGGGCCATCCCCTGCTTCCATCCGCTGGCACCACGTGAAGACCAGACCTCCTGCCGGCCCTGGGGACACTTTATCTAGCAAGGGACTGGTGCCCAGCAGCACCTTGCCTCTAGGGTGGTGGATGCAGCCACGTCCTGCCAAAAGCTTCTAGTGTAAAACAATGCTGGGGGAGCCACCTGCCGCCCCACCCCTCCCGGGGGAAAAAAAAAAAAAGAGAGAAAAAAGAGACTTTTCCTCCCCTCCCCCTGAAAAGGACTTGCTGACAGCGTCTCTGTGCTTTGGAAATGGATCCCCTTACAGCACAGCGTGTGCTCCTGGCTGAAGCAGCATCCCCGCTCCGTTTCCCCGGGGTAAGTACCCAAAGCTCGAGTCTCACAACCTGGTGCTAACCAGGTGCTTGGTAGCAGTTGTGGTTGGAAGGCCCATGGCCAAATGGGGTAGAGCTGCGTTTTCATGGTTTGAATACACGATGCGCACGGCTAAATTGGGCATCCAGGTGGAGTGACCCCTCTGATCCTGGCTGATGTTTCAGCAGGGCGAGAGGAGCTCAGCCACGGGGGCCTGGTGGCAGCACCTGCCTGCTTTTCCACTTCAAAAAGGTGGCAAAAGCAGCCCTGCCAAAAGATGGCAAAACCAGGCTGCTGCTCTCACCCGAGGAGGGTCCTCCCAGCGAGGGGAGCTTCACACAAACCCACTGCCGAAACTGGGCGCTACCCGAGCATTGCAGAGCTGGGTCCCACTTCCAGCCCATTGCTCCTGCAGAGAGGCAGCCGGTGGGCAAGGGGACAGCAGCAAACCCCGCTGCCCTACAAACTCCCAGCCTCTCCTAGCGCGATGGTTTGCTTTTAAGGCAGGTTTTCATTTTCCATGCAGAACAGACCTGGTCAGTTAAAATACCTCCTGTTGGAATGAGAGCTGAGGTGTCAAACAGCAGCAAGTGCCCCTGAGCATGCCTGTCACCTTGCCTGATCATGTGCAGGCAGAAAGTGGAGACCACCCGGCTGTTCTCCATGCACCGTGTCTTTAACCCTCAGAGCCATCGCAGGGGTATGCTGAGCAGGACAGCTGCCCGCCGAGGGCAGAGGAGAGCCCTGTGCTGGGCAGGGTGCCTGTTGGTGATGTCCCTGCGGAGCTGGTGGGGTAGGAAGCTCCTTTTGTGTTTACACCAGCAGGAAACATGGCTTAGCCTCCCCATAGCCCCAGGTGTTCTCCTGGTGGCTGGAGACCCACTGGCTTTAATGTGGGACCTTTCCTTCTGGAAAGTTTCCTACCTGCCCAACGCCCACACTTTGCTGTGAGCCCACAGCCTGTGGAAAGCAGGCACCAACACCGCTCTGCTCTCCCAGCTCAGGAGGTCCCTCTCCAGGGCTAACAGTAAAGCATAATCCACAGTCCCAGCTAAGTTGTGGTGGGACAGGACTCGTCCAAACTATGCGTGTTTATCCAGCACAGGCATTGGAACTGATGACAGACTTCTTTCACCCCCACCCTTTGACAACTGCACACTATAAAAGCTTTGGGCTGCCTGAACAGGAGAAAGGGGCAGAGAGCGAGGCGCCTTGGGGACACCAGCCTTCGCTGCGAGAGTGCTGACTCGAGCACCTCCTCTGATCTCAGCAGCCTTAGGTACCCATATAATAAGCATGCAAATCTGTAACACAAACAACTCATTGTATATTTTATCAAGCCAGACTTCAGCTAGGGCAGTGTATTTTGCAAACGTATCCTTTGTGCATGGGCAAGTACTACCTGGTGTCTGAGCATGGCTTGCCTGAGCCAACATGCTTGGCTAAACACCTGCAAAACTGCGCAAACCCCGCTGAGCACATGTCCTATGGTGCCTACAGTCTATAGGAGACATATGTTTAAACTGGCTCTTGGGCACAGGGTTAGCAAGAACAGAAGAAACAAATCAGCATGAAAAGGATGTGTGGAAAACCCTTCAGATTAAGTTTAAAGCAATATTTCACAGGTCCTGGCCAAGTATCAACAGTAACCCCCCGCATCTGTAGATGACAGACAGATCACTATCCCTGTTGTACCGCTGAGAACCGGCAGTATGCGGTAAGGTTAAATTACCAGACTCCAAAGCAAACCCATGGCAGAACCACAGGAATAACGCAGGCTGCATTTCTCTTGCCTTGCTCCCTAAAGCAGTTGCTCACACTGCCATGCTGGCCAGCCACAAACGGGTATTTAGCCACTGTCCTGCATCCAAATGGGGGTGCTGAGGTCAGCTTTTTGGACAGCTCCACAGAAAACAAAGATCCATAACACAGTGCAGACAGGAAAGCTTCTCATTTGTAGTTTTAGAGGAAGATAGATAAAAAAGCATCAACTTTTAGAGAGACGCAAGCCACGCAACACAGGCAGCAGTGAAGCGAGTTTCTTTGGAAGACAAGCACCAGTCAGTGCTTCTTGTTAACTCAGGGCTGGGAGTGCTGACGAGGAAAAGCAGCGCAGTTATCCTGCCACGATGCTGTGCCATAGTGAGGCATGGTTACCTTGCTTTGCCAAGTAGAGGCTTGCAAGACAGCAGCACTTTGGGGAAAAAAAATAAAAAAAAATAATCAACTCCTAGTAGGTCAGTGGTGGAAAGATGAAACCCAAGAGCCGTCTGACATCTGCGTTAAAGCCAAGGGATGAGCTCTTCCAGATTACCATAGCAATCACCAAAAGGATTTCTGCTCATGATGTTCAACAATTTCAACTCTCTCTGATGATTTCTACCAAAAGGACCAGATAAGAGGGTGGCCGCTCACTGACCTGTGCTGTAGCATCTGCAGCTCTGTGGCATGCAGGACTGTACAGATGTTACAGAACTGAGCTTCGGCATTTACTGCCAGACAGAGAAGTTCTGCTCCTTCATTTCCCACCTGGAAAAATAAGGGGTAAATGGGATCCCTAACCAGGAGCAAACAGGAAATCAGTAGCACAGCTGGAAAAGACCTTCATCAGCTGCTGCGATCAGTGGGAACTGGTTTTTTGAGGTTTATAACTAGTCATTAAGCCACCCAAACAACTTGCCAGCTCAGCTGCAGTGAGCGCGATGACCAAGAGCAACGGTTACCCCTCACATGTGCCAAAACAGAACGGCTGGTTCAAGCGCAAACTCCAGATGCTGCCTGAGCATCAAGTTAGTTGTGCCGTGGGCTCGGGATGGATGCGCGGGAGCCTCTGCAGACATAGCAAACAGGTTTCACTTGGCCAGCTGGCAGAGGCGTTGAAAAGAAACCAGGCAAAGCCTTTGGGTGCAGAAGCTGTGAAAGAGAAGCAGCCAGATGTGGCTTAGGAACAACTTGTTCTGGTGCCTGTGAAGATGGATTCACTTTTAGAAGATGGATTTAAACATTTAGTGGACAGATAGTGCAGGAAGTCTCAGTCTGGGGAGGGCTAAACAAGCTGACATTTTCACTGGGCATTAAACTGCCAAAAGTCACATCTCCTGGGGCATCAGATGTCAGAGCAGCAGCAGATGCCCAATCCCAGAGACCTAACACCTGTACAAAAGGTCCCCTGGGAACAAAAAGGGGCAGGATTAGCTCCTTGTCAGCATCTCCAGGGTTTTGCTGGTCTTTCAGACCACATTTGGTGCTGTCTGTCCCTGTGGTCTAGTGAAGACGGGAGAAATGGATTAATTGGGAAAGAGCTTGTATGGAAGCGCTGCCCTCCCTGGGACTGCTGTGGGTTTCCAGAGAGCATCGCTTCGGTTACATCTGTGTGCTGGCTGCATTTATTGCATGAGGGAGTTTGGCACTGGCAGCACTGCACAGGAGAGGTGTGGGATTTATAATTTACATTCAAGCTTTGCTCTATAAATTTTTTTTTTATTTTTGACCTTTCTATCAAATTGGGAAAGCCAAGAAAACAGTCAATGCACCACTTTGGAAGCTCTGAAATCTGTCAAATGGACACCCAGGACAAAAGACCTTATTTCTACCTGTTGTGGGGATTTGCTTAATTGATTTTGATTAGCACCAGACAGATTCCCACTCTGCTTTAGGACAGGAGCAACTTTATACATTGGCCTTGCTACCAGGGAGCAAGCATCAAATGGCATTTGCCCTGAAGCTGCCCCACTGCAGTAATAACGATGCTAAAAACCCGTGCTTTTTCCAATAGTCCAAATTAAAACCAGCACCCCCAAGCTCCCCCCAGCCCAGGTGTGAAGAGCAGCATGCCTTTGGGCAACGGCAAGCCCCCGAGCCTGGCTTCAGGTCTTCACGTGGCAAGTAGTGGGGAGACATGGGCTGCAGCGAGCTCAGAGGTTGAACCGCAGGGCTGGGGAAGCCGGAGGCAACAGACGGGATTTCAAGCCTTAGTGGTCACAAG